TGTGAGATTGTTTGAGCATCTAGAATTGAGATTTAGATGTGTCGCCCCCCTCGCCAATGCCTCTAGATGCAGAATTGGATATGATTTCTGTGCATCGTTCAATGAGAAAGCAGTCCTTTGCGTAAGAGGAATCACCAAAATTCATGCATTTAGCAGGCATGTAGCAATTTTTTGTTCCGTTGCCCATCCCTGGCACTTACGGCACTGGGTGAAGTTTAGGACATTTCCTCCAGTCTTCCTGAAGTGTTTCCACTTCACTTGGCCTTATAGCTTTTTCTAAGGCCTTAAGATTGTTCGGTTTACTAGACTTGAAGTATGAAAATAAAATAAAAATCATTAGATATCCCGTTGCGCGAATCGCCAGGACGGGATTTTATTTTCATTTTGATAACTTGGACTGGCACAACTCCAACTTATGTTGCCAGCTCATCTTTGATCGGATCCAGGGATTCAACACTGGGCAGTCCTTTCAAGACAATCTTAAACAGACGTTCAGTTTTGGTGTCGTTAGTAAAAAAATGGTGCTGTTTCTCAGTAAGATACTTGAGAATACATTTAATTCCGTCTAAGGTTTCAGCCAATACACGGCATTCACCCCGACGGCCAATTTGAAATGAAAACTTAAATTGAACGAAGTTCAAAGGTTCCTTGAAAAATGCATGGAAGTCGGAAGTGGTTACCACAAAAGGGGAACCTTTTCCTTCTTGGAATTAAGCCGGGAAAGTTTACTAGAATTTTTCTTGGATGATGGATCATTTTCATCATCCGTGAGCAAATCAAATTGATTGCTCAAATTAATTTCACCACAAGGGGGATCAAGAGATTGCCCTTTTCTTTTGCGCTTAGGCGTCATAGGGGCAGTAATATTTTGCAATTTATGCAAATCGACTTCCAAGCAGATTACTGTAAGAGTAATATTCCAAATCGATATCCAAGCAGGATTACCACGGGTAGGGTCCAAACAAGGATCGAAGAGGAATAAGAGTCAAGGTAGAAAATTTACAGTTACATTGAGCACTGGAAAGAGCTGTTTAAATTTGTTGTAGTTTAGGTAGCAGTAACACTTCCTTCAGCAAAAAGCAAATAGATCCGCACGGCAAGAGAGCACGATGCGGAATGATACACACTACTAAAAATTCATGTAAATTTCGGTTCCCTGACACCGACACATGTAAGCGGGCCTTTTCACATGTTTGAAAGAAGCGTGAAAATCAATTCAATCAAACGTTCTCTTCGTCGACTAGCTGATGTTTCGGTTTGAGAACACTTAATTTTACATGAAATGTTTGTTTACGTTCTATGATTTACGTCTAAGTGTGTAGGGTTTTCCTTCAATATCCTCTTCACCTTTCGGTCCATGACAGGATCAGCACGTCCAATGTTTTTATCCCTTATCGGTTTCCTCTCGACGATCAAATGTTCCGAAAATGATTTGAGCACACCGTGAACAGTAAATCCAATATTTTTGCGAATTCCCGTATTGACAAGTCAGGATTTGCATTACGTCCGTACAAAATCCGCTCGCGCACGTTTTTTTTCATTCGTCGCCATTTGAGCACTAAACATGGAATGTAAACACCAATCATAGAATTTTTTCATCAATGACTCCCAGCGAAATTTTTCACTCCTATACGTGCAATATTTCCAAGATTACAGTAAAGGGTGTCCACGATGAAATTGCCACACTATGAAATTGCTCTAACTTTTTAACCGTTGGGTAGAATTTAATGAAAATTTGGGTGGATTTAGTTCATAGTACATCCTGCAAGTTTTAAAGTCCTGTGATCAAAACTCGCGGAAATGGAGTCGAAAGAACAGCTCGTGCGTGATAAAATCTTGCGCATTCATCACGAGAACAAGGATCTCTCGCATCGTTCCATCGCTAAAACGTTGGGAATCGCGAATTCCACGGTGTCGCGAGTGATTAAGCGGTTCGAGGAACGGTTGACCACCGATCGGAAGCCCAGAAGTGAAGGAAAAAGTATTCCGTACAACACCAAAAATCACAACCGCGTAGTTAGGGCCTTCAACCGAAATCCGAACGCCTCCGTTAGGGATGTGGCTAAGAAGCTGCACCTAGGGCCGACTTCAAACAGATCCCCGGCAACCTGTTTTTCACGGCCAAGGATAAGTTCAGCGTTCCGGAGCATGTCCGCACTCAGAAGATGTCCAAATTTGCGAAGAAATTCCTGGTTTGGCAAGCCATCTGCACGTGCGGGAAGCGGAGTGCACCTTTCGTGACCCAGGACACGATGAACGGACAGGTGTACATAAAAGAGTGCCTCCAGAAGCGGCTGCTTCCTCTCCTGAAGGCCCACAACGTCCCAACAATCTTCTGGCCGGATTTGGCCTCATGTCACTACTCCAAGGACGTGCTGAAGTGGTATGCGGACAATAAGGTCAATTTCGTGCCGAAAATGTTCAACCCTCCCAACACTCCGGAGCTCCGCCCCATCGAGAAGTACTGGGCGATTATGAAGCAGCACCTTCTTAAACGACCTAAGGTAGTGAAGACAGTCGAGGAACTGAAGAAAGTATGGGTTTACATGCAAAAAAACGGTTGATTCACAGGTTGTGCAGAATCTTATGACCGGGGTTAAGGCCAAGGTGCGGGCATTTGCGTATGGACTGTAAATAAAATACGAGTAAATGGTAAAATGAAGTTTAATAGTTATTTCTCAATCCCTGAAAATTTGATGGCAATCGGATGAAAACTCGAATTTTGCGAATCAATTTTGTGTATGGCAATTTCATCGTGGACACCCTTTAATTTGAAGGTGTCCAGTTTAATGTGGATACAGACCTTACATAGGGTGGCCAAAACTGGTAAATCTACCCTATGGGCTCTATTATACAAACAAAATTATGAAATGTATCGTGTAACTACGAGCGGGACGACACATCTAAATCTCAATTCTAGGTGCTCAAAAAATCTCAAACTAGCTAATCAGTCTTCGAAAAATATTTGTTAATTTCTCGCATCTTTTGCATCGTGCATCATCTTTTTGCAAGAAATCTTCAGAATCGTCATAAATCTTCTTAATATCTACTAAGCGTGCGCGCAGCTAACCAGGCTCCAGCAAAAAAAAAAATTTCCTTCATCGTAGATAAAGTCGCCCCCCTCGACACGGTTGCTATCGCAAAAAATAATTTACAATTTCCAGCGCCCGTTCCAGATGATCAAAGACCAGAAACCGTTCTGTTGTCTCCAGATGACTAGTGCAAAACTCGAAGATTATGTCTATTCACTTCTGAATCATGCATTTTGAGCCGTCGGATGATACTAGTACATAGGTTTTGGAAGTGTCCTTTTGTGCCCTATTGGAACCGTTTCCATGTAGCCTAAACAGGGCCCAACAAAGTCACTTTCAATCGAAAATCGTCAAGCGACGACGAAGCTGTCAACCATCACTTTCAATTGAAAGTCATTCTGTCTTCTCTTCGAGCAGATCCCGGTCAACATCAACAAAACCACTTTCCATCAGTTTCCATACTGTTTGTTTTACCTTGACTCGTGTTCATTTCTTCTTTCATTGTCAAATGAACTTACTTTTGCATTGAAACGAAGCTGGTCGTTCCAAATTCGCGCAGTTGTTATGACTTTTGTTGATTGTTCACTCGGTCCATTTAAGCGTGTGCGCAAAGATCTGTGCACGTGGATGTCAAATTTATCATTGTCGGGTGGTTTGTTTGCCCGTCAATATGGGTATTTTTGGAATCAGTATGACGCCTAGAGAATTCGAAGCCATTAAATCCATGATGGCGGTTCCAGATTAAAAAAAAAGTTGGAAATTCTATCAAATATCCATGCATATGTCTAGAAGCCGTAAATCGATATCCGATGCCATTTTGAAATTCAAGACGGCAGCTTCCGATTTGAGGAAAAGTTTCAAATACCCTAAAATTTGGGTATTTTCTGAACGGAATGACACGTAGATTGCGAACATCGTTGTCATACGCCATCTTTAAATTCAATATGGCGACTTCTGGTTTCAGAAAAAGTGGAAAATACTGTCAAATACCCATCAATGTGGGTATTGTTGGAATCGAGGTGGCATCTAGAGGCTAGAAATCGATGACCGATGCCATCTTGAATTGAAATTGAAGATGGTTGCTTCCGATTTCAGGAGAAGTGTCAAGTAGCGTACAAATGGCGTTGGATATCGATTTTCTAAATTTACGTGTCGTCCCCGTTCCGAAAATACCCATATTTTAGGGTATTTGACACATTTTCTAAAACCAGTTGGGCACCATATTGGATCCCAAAATGGTATCTGATATCGATTCTCGACATCTACGCGTTGTCCCCGTTCCGAAAATAACCATATCTTACGGTATTTGACACTTTGATTCCAAAATGGCGTCGAGTATCGGTTTTACCCATATGTTAGGGTATTTACACTTAATCCGATGGCCGACATTTTGGACTCCAGAATGGCCTCGTTAATTTAATTTTCGTTTAATTTAAAATAATATTTTATTACTGCATACAATCCGGATGCCATCCCTATTGGCAACCGATATTGTGCGGATACTATCCGGATACTATATTTTGATGCCTAACGACGCGACGCGTGATAAGTCGAATGAACCCCGAATTGAAGTGAAAGTGAAAAAAACGAAGGAAGCAATTTTCGAGTCATTCATTGCATCTATCGCAACAAGTATTTGCTTCAAATGAAGTGAACTGATGCACTTGACGAACGAAACAAGCGATAGTCAAGTCATGTTTAACAGGAGGAATGTTCATCGTGACTCGATAACAAGAAACACAATAACATGAAAATGATATTGCGATTCTGCGGAGAGTTCATTTTCTTTTCTTTGTTTCGAAAATGCAGAACCCTGAGCCAGTCTAGGAACCATCATCTTTCATTTTCAAAATGGAATTTTGGGTTGGTTGATTGGGTTGGGTTGAAGTTTGTGTCTTTTTCGACCCGCTAATGAACAATGTGTAGCTTTTTCCCAATGCATTAGGATAATCCTGGACTCTATTTCAGAACATGCAGCTGAAACCGGGCGGTGCGGTGCGTGCCATGTTCGAGAAGGTTCCTTTTGCACTCGACTTTAAGATGTACCTGTTCCATGTTATCAACCCGGATGATGTTATGAAGGGTGGCAAGCCTAGGGTTAGGGAAGTAGGACCGTACTTTTTCGAGTGAGTGCCTTTATTGGAAGTTCATTTGACGCTTAATCGAACCGAAAAATCGTTTACAGGGAGTGGAAGGAGAAATACGATACCGAAGACGACGATACAGATGACACGATGACTTTCAACCTGAGGAACACCTGGATTTTTCGCCCGGACCTGTCGGTACCGCTGACGGGAAATGAAATTATTACCATACCCCATCCGTTGATCCTGGGAGCGTTGTTGATGATCCAGCGGGATCGACAAGCCATGCTACCGATGATTTCCAAGGCCCTGGACATCATTATGCATCCCATGACTACGGGATTCTTGACGACACGGGTCATGGATTTGCTATTCGATGGGATACTGATCGACTGCAGTAGTGATGAGTTTGAAGCGGTTGCACTCTGTGCCGGATTGGACTCGGAGGGAGCCGTTGCTCGCCACAACGAGACTCATTTCAAGTTTTCGATGTTTGGATTGGTAAGTGGGGATGGCTGGCGTCTCGAATTGGGGGTCAACCATATGATGGTATTTTCAGAGAAACGGAACGGACGCTGGTCGATTTAAGGTCTATCGTGGAATTAAGAACGTTATGGACATTGGACGCGTCGTGAGCTACAATGATGAAACCGAAATGGATATTTACGATGGCGATGTGTGCAACAAGTACATCGGGACGGATTCAACCATCTTTCCACCGTTGCTGACGAAGAAGGACAAGTTGTGGGCTTGGTCACCCGACATCTGCCAATCGATTGGGGCTCATTACGCCGGGAAGTCAAGCTATGCAGGGTTGCCGATGAGTTTGTACAAGCTGGAATTTGGCGATTTGAGGGTAAGTTGTGAGATGTGCATTAGGGTGTTTCATTTTGAAAAAAAGTGATGAATTTCTGATAGGCCACCCTCCAATTCGGCTCATAATACCAAAATATAATCCAGTGCAAAAATTGGTAAAGATTGATGAAGGTTTAGAGGTCCCACCAATGATTTGAAATTTGTATGGGAGAAAATCATTTGAGATTTGGGCGTAATTGCCTTTGAAAACAAACACGTCAATTACTGATCTCTCTTGAATAAAAGCTACTACAGTTACAGTTACTACAGTCAAAATCAATAATTTCCCATACTAATTCACAAAAATCTCCATACAAAATTCAAATCATTGGCGGCCCTCTAAACCTCCATAAATCTTTACCATTTTTTGCACAGGCTAATATTTTGGGGTTATGAATCGAACTGGAGGGTGGCCTATCAGAAATTCAACACTTTTTTTTATTTAGATACGTTAAGTGGAGGAAACGTTTCCAAATTTCAGAAAGATCCGGATCATCAATGCTTCTGCCGCAATCCACCGGACGGTTGCCCACCGAGGGGAACAATTGACTTGGCACCCTGTTTGAAAGCACCGATCATCGCTTCGAAGCCCCACTTTTACGACGCTGATCCAAAACTGCTGGCTGCCATCGATGGACTTACGCCCAACGAGAAGGAGCACGATGTGTTCATTCATTTCCATCTGGTAACGTATCCGGTTTGATTTTTTTTCTATATTGAACATAATCCGGATTCCTTCTAGCTGTCGGGAACCCCGGTTTCGGCCGCCAAGCGATTGATGTTTAGCATGGAAATGGAACCGATTCGTGATCACGAACTGCTGGGAAAGTTGCCGAAAGTAATTTTTCCCATGTTTTGGGCGGAAGAAGGCGCCTCGCTCAACAAGACCTGGACCAATCAGCTGAAGTATACACTGTTTCTGTAAGTGAAAAGCTTAAGAAGTGAATCACAACGGTTAATGCTTCAATTATCGTACTTCATTCCCCAAATGCAGCGGCCTCAGGATCAACTCCACCATCAAGTGGGTATCCATAATTGTCGGAACGGTCGGAATCATCGGAGCCGGATTCATGCACTACAAGGTTTCGACCGGAACCGTAAATGTCACCGTGGTAAAACCCATCAATGGAAAGGGCAAACCGAGTGGAAACGGAGTGGCCCCGGCCCCAACTAACAACAACGACGTCATCAACAACAACAACAATAAAAACAGCACCGTCGTTGGTCACGTCACGGCTACCGTCATTCCGGCCGGCAAGGATGTGGTTAGCGTCAACAATATGAGGAATTTGCCTACCGTCATCGACGGTTTGGACAAACCACCGAAGGTGATTGGCACCGAGGTGCAGAAGGAACGATACTGAGCGCAAGCGATCCTGAAGCGGAATAATCAACTTTTATATCACTGATGCAATCCTCATGGGCACCTACCCCCATCTCATCACGCACTCAATGGTATATAATGGGCAGCATTGTATTGTATGGCAGTTTAGCAGAATTTAATTTTACGATTCAAGAATTAAGCCATCAGCAGCATCCTCTCTCAGTGGGGCTTTCGCTGTGGAATTATATTTTGTTGTCTGTAGAAACGTAGAGCAAAATGAATAATCATGAAAAGAGAAATTTAATCCCGGATGGTAGTCCTTCCGGTGGGTGATGGTAGTTAGATTATGGGATTCGAGCATAAGAACGTTGAACAAGTTTAAATGTTTGTTGTTGTTATGAGACGAGAATCGTTTTCGCTGTTTTGTAGAATAAAATTGGATGGCAGTTGACTTTGATTTTGAAGTATTTTTTTCTTTGTAAGCATTGTACGTTGGTGTGGTAAAGTCTTCTGTGATTGGAGGGATTTTCTTGGATAGACAAAAAACGTAGATGAAAATTCTAGATAGAGCAGTAATTAGAGCGTAACAGCTTTTGAAAATAATGACTTTATAGAAAGTCAAGACTCGCCTACGCAAATCAACATCACCTCGAGTAGGGAAAGACTTCCCGTACCCGACGGTTATGTTGGTTTGCGTGGGCGCGTCTTGAATTCCTAGAAATCATATCGAGAGAAGTAATTGTTTACAAAAGCTGTTACGCGCTAATTCCAGCTCTATCTAGAATTATATGGCAAGCGCCTGCGTCACGTCGTGGAACGTTGATCGGAAATGGGCACTTTTCCGACAGGTAAGAATTTTCCCCCTGTGTAATGATAAAATATAACATTTGTCGTTTTTATTGATTTCTTACGTGTAACGGTCATTAGAAATTTTTGAGTTGAGCCACTTTTCTCCACAATGGGTGAAATTGTTTGCCCATTAATGGGTACTTCAAAGTTAGCGTGCGGTGCATAGCTGACGAATCGGTAATGGAAGGATGGATAGATGCATACATTTTGGCGAAATGCACAAAGTTGTACATTAGGGTGTTCCACTATTATTATTTTTTTAACAATCATTGACAAATGCACGGAATGAACTTACGAAAATATTTTACGTTTGAGCAGTGCCGTGTTTACTAAAAATCAACACATGACGTAATGCTCGGTTAGCATTAGAAAAGGGTTTGTCAATTTCTATAGAAACCCGTTAAGTCCACCTCCAGTGCATTTATTTTTATAAATCAATTGTTTCTGTTTCTCCACAACTGGCTCACTCACTCTAAATGAATGAAACACAATTAAAAAAAAAAACTGGGATGGTCAATCTGCCCGGAAAATTTTAGCAGAACTTGTGCTTTGAACTCGAAATGTCAAGCATACTGATATTAAAAATCTATCACTTTAAATTTAATTAATTTATCCTTGAATTTCATGTTTACTGATTATAGATTTAAATAATATATTGTCTTGTTCATACTGCAAGCCTTGTTATATGTTATTATACCATAGAATATAATATCATATTACTACCCAGATCACTTGTGTCCAAGTGATATTGAACAACATTACAAGGCTTGTAGTAGAAGTAACATTGAGCAATCAATTTGATAAGTTTGACAATGTTTTGTCATAGAACTTATCTGAATAATACACTTTTATTGAATACAGCAACAATTTCGTAATACTCGCGCTCTAGAATACTAATTATTTCAGGTGGAAATGGAGAATTATCGCTTTCTTGCTCTTAATTAATTTGTTGTTGACTTGCCATCTTCACGAGAAATATTTGGCATGTGCGCTTTTGGCCTCCCTTAGCTCAGTCGGTAAAGGTGCAGCTACAAAGCAAGACCATGCTGGAGGTGGCTGGGTTCAATTCCCGGTCCGGTCTAGGAATTTTTCGGGTTGGAAAATTTCTCGACTTCCCTGGGCATAGAAGTATGATTGGACTTTCCACACAATTATACCAATGCAAAAATGGTACAGGCATCGAAAGCTCTCAATTCATAACTGTGGAAGTGCATCCAGAACACTAAGATGAGAGCACGCAATAAGCTAATATGCGATATGCAATAAGCTTGAAATGCTAAGAAGAAGAAGAAGAAGCTTTCGACACTTGCTTCCAAAAACAAAACTAATCAAATTCAATGGATGAAAACAGTGGTGCTAATTCAAATGATAATCATTTTGATTTAAAAGTGTTATACAGTACATCTTTTGACGTTGGACTACGTCTTTAATTTCAATACTGGGCGCCACGTTTAAAAAATAAAAATTCAGACCTGTAACGGAAAATCCCAAACACGGACTTAACTATAGAGCACAAATTGAAGACTTATGCAGTTACGGACGATATACAATCCCTTTTCAAGCCCTTTACTGCAACTGATCGCAAGTGCTAGATGACTGTTGGGTCTATACTCACAGAACAGCCAATCAAGCCCCTCCTTCTTAGAATATTTTTCGTCATCTTCATTTTTTTGTTACTTCCCTGTAGCTATCAGATGTGCGCACGCACAGTATAAAATCAGTAGGCAAAGACAGATTCTCTGCTCAGCTCGCGATTCTCTGCTTGAACGTCAAGCAGTACAGTTCGGTCTTTGCTCGCTCTGTCGAGTTGTTCTAAAGTTTCTAGTTTGTTCCAAACATTCGCAGTTTAATCGCGTCGTCAGTAGTGTCGGTCGCTTCGTGTGATGGGAAGACAGCGCTCCCGGAGCAGGCTCCGAGAGAAAACGGAGAAGAAGAACAGCGGTGAGGGTAGCTTGAGTGTACCTATTTCGAATAGGTACGCTACTCTTCCCACCGATGTAGGGAATCCCACCTCAGCCACGGTGAAGCGGTCTAAGAAGAGGAAGAAAAATCAAGGCCAGTCCGATGGTGCGAGTGGACGGGACGATGCCACCGCGACGAACGTCAGCGTCATTGGTGATTTTGCCGACGCCGTCGACAACGAAACTGCTGCCACCCCGAGTGCAGCAAAAATGAAGCTTCCTCCACTGGTGGTGAAGCAAGTCCCACTCAACACGCTGATTGGCGATCTTTCATCGCTGGGCGTTGCAGCTGAGTTTAAGCTCGGCAGGATCGGCACCAAGGTGATGCTCCGAACAAAAGCGGAGTACGAAGTGGCCGTGAAACATCTGAAGGATACCAAGGCGGAATTCTTCACGCACGACTTCCCCGGTGAGAAGCCCTTCAAGGTAGTCATCAGGGGTCTACCAAACTTCGACCCCAAGATGGTCGAAGCTGAAATCAACCGGTACAAGCTGGCCCCAATCGCTGTCTTCCGAATGACAAGGAGAGACGAAAACGTGAAGACGTACCCGGATTGTCTTTTCCTGGTGCACTTCCAGAAAGGGACAGTGACGCTCAATGCGCTACAAGCCATCCGATCAATCTGCTCCATCATCGTACGGTGGGAGCCATACCGTGGCGGCCATCGTGACGTAACGCAGTGTATGAGGTGCCTCAATTTTGGACACGGTACCCGCAACTGCAACATCAAGCCACGCTGCAGCAACTGCGCTCAAGAACACGCCACTTCCAACTGCCCTGCGGATGGAGCCGTGGCGATAAAATGCGCTAACTGTGGTGGTGCACATCAAGGTTCCGACAGACAGTGCTCCAAACGCGAGGACTTCAAACGCATCCGAAAGCAGGCGTCAAGCAACAATCAACCAGGACGCAAGAAGGACAAAACCCCATCATTCAGGACGGAGGATTTTCCGCCTCTTCGTGCTCCCCAGCAAAGGCAAGCGAATTCGCGGGTGCAACCCGCCCCCCCTCAAGAAGCTTCCGGTGATTTTGCTGGCCAAAGCTCTCCATCCCCCCCTGGATTCTGGAGACAACCAACAGCGCAAAACAACAACCCCGATCTGTTCTCAGCGGATGAACTGATGGAAATTTTCATCAACATGTCCGGTGCTCTTCGTAAGTGCCGCAATAAGCCCGAACAGATCCAAGTGCTCGGTAAGTTCATCATCCAGTATGGCGTCTAAACCGCTAACTATCGTCACCTGGAATGCTTGCTCTGTAAGAGCAAAAAAGATTGAGCTTGCCGACTTCCTCCGCAAGCACAGCATCGACGTGGGCCTTCTAACCGAGACCCATCTAAAGTCCGGCGACAGCTTCTGGTTGCCTGACCACAATATTATCCGGCTTGATCGCACCAGCTCCAGGGGGGGTGGTGTTGCGGTCGTCGTCAAGAAAGGAATAAAATACCACACTCTGTCCCATATCCGCACCTCTATCATCGAGGCCCTTGGTGTGGAGGTGGAGTCGTCGACTGGATACGTCCAGTTCATCGCCGTCTACTGCCCTCGACAGTGTGCCGCCAGCAGTGGACTAGCGGCTAAATTTAAGAAGGACCTGTCCACCATCACCCGTACCGGTTCCCGCTTCGTTGTTGGAGGAGATCTGAATGCTCGTCATGAGGCATGGCGGAACTACCAGCAGAACCAGAACGGTCGTCTGCTGTTCGACCATTCGCAGCATGGGCTGTACTCCGTTTGGTTCTCGGACGAGCCAACATTCATCTCACCGGCAGGCAACCCATCGACGCTAGACCTGTTTCTTTCAAATACCGGCTTGTCCAAGCCGGTAGCCTTAAACGAACTCAGCTCCGACCATCAACCGGTGGTGGCTGAACTGGGATACAACGTAGCTGCTGCTCCAAGCCTGCGCAAGGACTACCATCGCGTAAACTGGGCCCAGTTTGGACGCGTGGTAGACAGGCACATCATCGACAACCCGCCGCTTGACTCCGTGGAGGACATCGACCGAGCGTTGGAAGTACTCCACCAAGCCATAACCGTGGCTGACGAGGCGTGCGTCCGACGAGTTCCTGTGAGGGGTAAGTTTATTGCTATTGATTCCCACACCCAACTCTTAATTCGCCTGAGAAATGTTCGTAGACGCCAGTTTCAGAGGACTGGAGATCTAGCGAGGAAACGTGAAATGGCCAATCTGAACAAGGAGATTGCTTCCAGAATGGTCTCACTCCGGAACGAAAGTTTCGGGCGGCTTGTCCAGAATCTGGACGACCGCTCCAGACCATTCTGGAAAGTTGCCAAGGTCTTAAAGACGCACCCTAAACCCATTCCGCCACTAAAAGATGAAAATGATGACGATCGGCTCATAATCACCCCTCAGGAGAAAGCAAATGCGATTGGTGAGCATATTGCCAAATCGCACTTGCTTGGCTCCAACATCCAAAGTCCGCTCGAAGTTCAGGTTGAGCAATGCGTACTCAACCTTGATTCCTCCCTGTCGTATCCTAGATTTTTTTT